GCAGGTGGCACTCAACTGCAGCAGCACTGCACACTAAGAGGAAGTCAGGAGGATCATAGCTCCTGTAAGGTTTCCTGGATCACTGAGAAAGCTATGTGTTTGGATTCTGCTGCCCCATGTGACTCTGGCAGCCATCTTGGGTCAGGCAGAGTCTATTGGCTTGGCCCACATTCATGCAAGTGAGTAGTGTAAGAACAGGCCACCCATGTGACCAGAACAGTGAATAAAGGTAGGGAAAGGTCCCAGATAAGTAAGGAAAGGATAGGGACATGCCATCCTTCTTGGAATCTTCCCATCTGGGTAAAAACTGGCCTGGCCAAATTATGCCCTTCAAGAGAGATGCTGTTGGCACACCTGAGAACATTATTCATTGCTGTTACATCTCTGAGTTCCCTAGTTGGGTGCCTTCCCATTGGGTAGCAAGTTCCATTTATTGCAACTGGCTCTGTGTGTTTATTGCCACTGCACCATGCTGCACCTCCTCACACACTTACTGCAGACATTTTTAAACAAATTTATGATCAGTTATATCAAAATTTATTTGGCTGCGTGGATGTCCTAGTGTGGCTTAAGCAGTGTTGGTTAAACAAGAGGGAGGGCTTGCACTGTCGAATTTTAAAAGATATTATCAAGCAGTAGGAATTACGTGGGTGATGGAATTTGAATAAAAGCTAGGTGAAGATTTTCACAGAGCCAGGTTGCACTGGACAAGGTGATATGGGTTCCACAACAGTATTGAGATTTAGGAAGAAACACAAGCCCATTGACGACGAATTTATTTAAGATTCTGGGAAAGGCACACAGACAATTTAAATGGAGTTATAATTTTCCACTTATTTCTTTAGCAGACACTAGTTATTTATTTCCCAGGGAAGAAGATTATTTCTTTTTCACTCACTGGGTTGGGAAGGACTTACTTTAGTTGGGTGAGGTATTAAAGGGAAATAAATTATGTTCACTTCAAGATTTGCTGGAGAAGTGGGGCATGGCACTTTTAGTCAAATGGAGGCATGCACAAATTCAGCACTTTTTAATGTCAATATCACAATCATTACACACAGGGGATAACCTGTTGCCTATGGAGAGACTGTAGTGATTCAGAGGGAAAGAGACATTATATCGCTCAAATTTATAGCGTATTGGGAGGAGAACCTAAAATAACAACTTATTTAGGTAACTGGGAGCAAGAACTGGGCTCACTAGAGAGTGATTATCAGAGGTTAAAGATACTAAGATTGGCAATTTGTTCCTCAGTAGTTGTAAAGATGATGAAGCATGTTTTAAGGCATTAGCAAGATGGTACACCACACCAGTGGTTGCACATAGGTTTTGGGAAGAGACATCAGCCTTATGTTGGAGCAGCTGTGATGTACCAGGAACCTTTTGGGCACATATGGTAGCACTGCCCGAGTATACAGAGGTACTGTGAAGATATAGCTAATAATATCCAAGAGATAATAGGAAAACTAGTGCAAGTAGATCTTTGCAAAGATACTATGGAAAAAATGTAATTAAATGGAAGGATTAGTTGGTATTTAAAGCAAAGGTCATGTCAAAATAAAAAAAAAATAAAAGTCAGCAGCTACAAAAATTGTAGCTGCTGACTTTTAAAAAACAGACACTCACTTGTCCCTTGATCCTGCGGTGTCCTCACACTGGCTGGGTTCACCAGCTGTCCTGTGTCCCTGGTGCCGGCATCTTCAATGTGGGCACCCGGCTGTGACAACTTGCAGCTTCACAGCTGGGTGCCCACGGCACATGTGAATGGTCTCGTAGTCTTCTGAGACCTTTCACATGTCCCAGAAGACTACGGGGAGGGAGGGGGGGGAGGACAACTTCCGACCGCCTAGGCAATCGCAGCTGAAGTGGAAGCGGGTATCTGTCAAATTTAGATACCCCCTCCTTCCCCCGCTCCCCAAAGGTGCCAATCCTTAACGAGTAGCTGGGGAAGAAGCCTTAAAGTGGAGCTTCCCCTTTTGGGTGGAGAAAAAAAAAAATCAGAGGGTTATTTTAAGATAGGAAGTATTGTTGAAGGGAGAAAGGAGAATACTTCATGATCAGGTAGTGGAAAGGGAAAGACGGCCATTAAAAGAGGTGGCAGTAGGACAGTGCTATATGTCAACAAATGCTTGTTTGTCAGAGGGGTGTAGGTAAAGTGGGACCAGTGGGATGTCTCTTTCCTTTTTTTTTTTTTTAGTTGATGGTTATATACCTGTACGCTGATTTTTATGTTTGTAATTTACACATGGAAAATTAAAAAAATAGAGAATAGTTAAAAAAAAAAATAAAATAGAAGAAAGCAATTCTAAAAAAAGGAAACTAATGCAGCCATCACATCAAAGAATTAGTAAGCTGCAATCTAATGTTTGCTTTAGGATTTAAAACCACTTTAATATCACTAGAGTAACTGTTTTGGAGATTGAGATTAGAGACATAGAATAAATCATTAATGGTTTTGTTATGGGGCCCCATCACATCAAATGGCCCTGTTAGTGAATTAAGAAACCGGAATTATTTAAAAAAAATTAACTCTTGTACACAGCATTGGATTTACCATTAGGCACAGTATACCAGTGTAAAGGGCAGAGGCAAAAAAGGCGGCTTCCACAATATAGTTTGCAGCCAAACAGTTTTTTGCATAATTGGTAAAAATACATTGCTTTTCATGTAAGCTTATTATCACACAATTGTAATCAGGGTTAAGTGTACATATACTAATTCCCTTAGGCCAACTATTCTGTATTGCCTCCCTATCACAGTGGGCTAGTTAGCCTTGGTATCACACAATAAAGTCACACAAGACACATCAAGGATGGGCCAGTTAGGCTAAAAGGCCAACTTTCTTTATGATGCGCAGGTGCCACTGCTAGCAGTCCTGCTGTCTTGGACCACAGCTGGGGTTGGCTATGAAGAAATCTGGTCCTGCCTCTAAAAAAAAAAAACTGCTCTGTATATAATATATGATCCTACAAGAGAGGTGTTTTGATGTGTGCCTACAGGCTCAGGTGATTATAGTCCATCCCTGCTTTCATATGTTAATTATTTATAGACCCTTATGAATGAATGCCACAAAATGCATCTAAACTGCTAAACAAACAATATTACAGTCCCAGCGTAACTGCACAACAGTTTTTCTTTGAAAGAGCTCTCTTGACTTATGATGTCCCTATGGCTCTATAACACATCTTAAAAAATTAAAAAAAAAACTGGAAGCCCCTTCCTCAACATGTCAAAGCTGTCAGTGTTAGAGCCAGGTACAGACACAGCATGCCTTCCACTTACTCCCACTGGTCTTGAAGCAGTTTGAACAACATATTTTTTGTGGGTATCTATTTTAAGAGATAGGCTAATTAGCAGCCCTCCTAGCTTTTGAAAATGAGACACACATAATATTAGAATATACATAGAGATCTAAACAGCTCTGGCATTAGAAGTTATAGAATCTTGTTCAAAACAGAGTTCTTCTTCAGGTCTGCTGATGGCCAATATATGTAATGCTTCATGTAAAATTTGAATAAGGTTTCAGTGCTTTGCTGCATCCTGTTAAATGTGCTCAAGACTTGTATTTTGACATTATGAAGGGGAGCACTTACACTTTTATACTAGGTTTATTTAAAAAAAAAAAAGGGAAAGACATTGAATGCTAAACCCCAAAACATTAAATCTTATATATTGCAGTGTCATTAGTTTTCACTTTTCATACTAAGAACATTTTATAGCAAGTACAGAAAATACTTGCTGATCTTGACACTTTCTGTGAGCTGAACCTGCAGCACCAATTCTTATTTTTGTATTGTATACTACTAATCTACCCATCCTGCAGACAATGCATTTGAGCAAGGGTGGTGATGTTTGAAGTCCTGCCTGGGTGACAAACACGGCTTCTTCCATAGATACAGAGGAGTAGTGGGTGTAGCCACTCAGTGATAGGAAGTAGGTTATTCCCAGGACTAGCCAGTAGGAAAAAAAGGATGAAAAAGATAAATGCAGCTATCTCCTCTAAGGACTGGTAAGCTGCAATATATTACATTTTTGTTTTTGGGTTTAGATATACTTTAGAATGCACTTTAACAGCGGTGCTTTACTGTACGTAACAAATGCACAGTTAAGTCTGCTAACAAACCCCCAAAATAGAAAAAGATTAATTTTATATGATCAGCTCCAATAACTGGAAAAGTGAGTTGCATCGAATTATGTTTTATGAATACAAAAACAGAATAAATCCCTCTGGAAGTGTTTGGGTTTATTTTAGTATTAAAGCATATAGAACGCAATAATGTAGAAGTTCCAGGAGTGCTGGATATTTTTTATGTTTTAGAAAAAGCTTCTTAGATTAATATTTACTTTCATACAGCCTTACAAACTTCATTAGCGATGTTCACTCTATACAGTGTAGGATATCAAATATCCACAAGCTGTTACCATTATACATTCTGCTGTTACATATACTTACCTATACATCTTATAGGACAACTAACATGCATTCTTCCACTATTAAAGGTTAGTTATGGCATAGTTTTTATGTTTAGGTCCCAAAAATACCTAAAAAGTATACGATTCTTTAGGCTTTTTCCATAATTGTAAAAATGTTATAGCTCCATGGTTTATTGGAATGACTAACAATATACTTTGGCTCATGTAAAAATGTAACTATGTGGAGTGCTGGCAGTAAAGTAATGTGTTAATGTAACCATAGCAAGGTATTGTTGAGCTCTGCTGTGGAATGAAATGGTAGTTATTAATTTTTTTTCTCATTTGAATGTTTTATACAAACCTATACATGTCAGAGCATACATTTGTACAGCTAATATATATGATCTCTGACTTAGAAACTCCAATACAGTGGCTAAGTCAGTAGTATCAGATATGCGGTAGTTTGGGCTTCCAAGTGCTTGAATTCACATGCAATTTGAACTAACCCTTGAGAACTCTGGTTTTAAATACAAAGTGGTAACATGCAAGTAATTACCAGAAAAATGTATAGCTAATCCAGTCCAAACATGACATACTTACTTTCTGTTGGCATTATAATAAATGTTTCAGGGGTGGCATGGTAATCATCATCTTCCAAGGATCCTTCAATGCTTGCATCACTTTGAACATCATACTGGTCAATTATGTCTTGCAGAGGTGGAGCTTTTTGGCAACATTTGTCTTATAACTTCCTTGGTGATGTTAGGTGCCTGTTCCAAGCGAAGCTTGCTAAGTATCTGGAATTTTATAGCTTCTAGTCTTGTAGACTTGCTGTTCTGCCTCAAGGAGCAAGAAGTGCACAGAGTGTCCTTATTAGCTGCTTGATCGTTGTCATTCAGTTCCACTAATGGAAGAACTACTAAAATGCACAGGTAAATATAGCAACAAGCACGTACCTTTATCATGTTCTCATTTAGTCAACTGTAATGTTTACCCTTACTTTGTGGTCTATGTTATAGGATATTGAAATGTCAAAGGACTCCTACTTACTGTTACTAGAGAGGAACCTGTCACACTAATAAATCATCTGCAGCTCATCTGTACTTTTATACTGTAACTTAAGTTACGCTTGCATCATCAGAACCAATGATTGGCTGCCTCGTAAACAATGAATTCAGCTGGCAGAGTCTTTGGAGCTGTGTTACTGTGGTGGCACTTTGTTGGATGCCAAAAACCAGTTTATTTTTTCAATGACACTAATTAAATGTATTTTTCTAATTTTACCATATGTTTAGGAAATACTTAAATATGTAGGCATAAAGCTAGGTTCTATTAATCTTAAAATGTTCTTTTAATTTAATAAAAAGTACTTGTATGATACTAGCAATGATTTGGGGTACAGTAATATTTTTCTTAGGATATATGCATACACAATTTACCATCCGATCAGCCCTTTGTGAACAAAACATATAGTTAGCAATACTTACATGCAAGTAGGAAGTGCTGTAGTTTTAAAACTTTGTCCTTTTTTTAAGGAAGAGTGGCAAAGAAGCAGCAGATTTTAGCACCCATGTGGACATGTCATTATACTTTGGATAGTATCCCTTAGCCTTAAAATAGATTTAATAGGTTGTGTTTCTTTACTGACATGTATAACTAATATAGCCAGTTTTACTGTTGGGGCTTTCACAGTTCAAGCTTCTGCCCTTGGTGTAGGCTGTCACTGAAGTTTACTTACTTTATTGACATTCATTTTCTTTATTTCCATTTTCTATTTTTTTTTTTTTTTTTTAATTTTCATAAATTAGGTGCTGAAATGTAATTTTCACATATACTCTACTAGCTTATAGGCAGTCAAAGAGTGATTGATAATTTCACTGATTATTGTATAATAAGTTACTTTATAAACTATGTATGTATTTTAATATAAACAGTAATGATGGGCTGAATGTTTGAGTCGAACGTAAGTTAGACTCGAACATGGGCCGTTTGTGTGTTTGGTGAACACATGAATGCTACAGGCGTTCGGCGGGCTGTTCACCCCACAATGCACTGTACCCTGACACAGGTTAAGTGCAATGCTTTGGCCAATCACAGGACATGATGACATCACAAAGGGCAGGATCACCCTGGATCACCTTATTTAAGAACTGTCTTCGCAGCGCAGCTGTCAGACGGCGGGAACCAGCATCGAGGGCAGAGCAGATCTTTTTTTGGGGGGTCGGCGCTGGTGGCAGGCATCATGATTGACGTTGGATCTATTTCGGGGGACATTTTCTCATTTTTAATAAAGGACTTGTCAAAAACTGTCTCCTGTCGTTTTTTACACTACACTTTTTTTTGTGAATGGGTAGTGGTACCATGTACTGCATACTCATTCACATGTGGGGGGGTCAGGATCTTGGGGTCCCCTTGTTAAAGGGGGCTTCCAGATTCCAATAAGACCCCCCCGCAGACCCCCACAACCACCAGCCAGGGTTGTCCCCACCAACATGAGACAAGCACACCCCCATGTTGAGGGCATTGGCCTGGTATGGTTCAAGGGGGGACACTTGCTCGTCCCCCCCTTTCCTGATCTGCCGGGCTGTATGCTCAGACAAGGGTCTAGTATGGATTTTGGGGGGCCCCTACGCCATTTTTAAAAACATTTTGGCGTGGGGAGGTTCCTCTCAGAATCCATACCAGACCCGAAGGGCTTGGTATGGATGGGAAGAGGGACCCCATGCCATTTTTAAAAAAATAGTTTTTAATTGTGAGGAAATGCCGACAATGCTTTTGACATTCAGCTGTCAGCAGGGAATCCTGCTGACAGCTGAAACGTGAATGAATGTTTCACTACTAAAATACTGCATGACTTAATAATATAACTCATGCAGTATTTTATTAACTGAGCAGTATCTTACCACATTCTCAAATGTGGTAAGATACTGCTCAGTAAATTGCCCCTGTTCGAAGTTCATGGTCAAACGTTCATTAGGTTCGAATGTTCGACCCCTCCCCCCCCCCCGCCGGGAACTGAACAGGGGGGGTGTTCAGCCCATCACTAATAAACAGCTTATTCAGTATTTTCTGATGAAATGCATATCAACTGCCTTGAAAAGAAACCATTTACATAAAGAAATACATTGCCTGCCACTGCAAATCGCATCATCTGAATTTAAGAGTTTTCTATCCTCTGTGCTAATCTGGGCTTTAGTACTTTCTGAGTTACATAGTTAGTCTGGCTGAAAAAAGACAAAAGTTCAACCATAGAAAAAAAAAAAGTTATAATCCTATACCCACAGTTGATCCAAAGGAAGGCAAAAAAAAAAAACCCCCAGCAAAGCATGATCCAATTTGCTCCTGCTGGGAAAAAAAAATTCTTCCTGATCCCCCGAGAAGCAATCGAATATTCTCTGGATCAACTTTACCTATAAATGAGTCACTGACAAAAATTAGTATAACAAATCAGGAGTTGTGACTTCACTCTAATTTCACTTGCTGCATACTTGTCATGGGTCAGTGATCCAAAAACTTTGGGGGCAGAGGCAGCCATGTAATTGGTAGTTTCAAATGGCATCAGCAGCAGCATTTATATTTCTTTCAGTACAAGTGTCCTTAAATTTGTCGTGGCATTGTTACCAGCACCTCTGGCATGCTGAGCATTGCAATTTTAATTTGTCAATGAATCGTAAACAGTTCCTTGGTCTCATGATATGGGACTTCTGGATGATAGCAGCAGAATGTGTGCATGGATTGTATAGATGTGAATAGTATTGTTGTTGATGGATTGTTTACCCTTAAAATTCCCACTGATATAAATTATGTTGACAGTGACCCTTATTTACTAAAATGCATAGAGCATGTTCCCTCGGTTTATATCCAGTACTGAGTTTTGATAAGCTCCCAGCACAAAGACAGCAGTGTCACTGAGAACCCCGGGTCCCGTTCTAACAATCGGGACCCTGGACTACCGCTCCGGGTCACATGATCACTGTGATAGCCTCTGATTGGCTACATACATTGTATCGCTCTAACTCTTGGCATAGAGAGAAAAAAAAATGTTTGTTAAAAAAAAAAAAAAAAAAGAAGTTAAATAAATAAATATTAAATAATAAAATAAAAAAATTAAGAAAAATACCTAGATCAAGGTTTGATCTAGTTTAGTTGCAGGGTTAGTGTTTGGGTCAAGGTCAGGGTCAAAGGTCAGGATTTAAAAAAAAAAAATTGGTATCAGTGTCAGTTAGTGTCAATGTCAGTGTGTTTTAGGTAAAAAAAAAAGACAAAAACAAAATGCGCACTATTGTTTTCTGGGCTGTACTACGGGTACAAACAAGAAATAACATACACATATATAGTTTCTCTGCGATCGTCAAGAGCTGGAGAATTTATTTTGTGTTGTTCTTTGGTGGTAGGTTATGGTAGTAACAAGAAACACACAGCTAAATAAAAAGAAGATTTTTTTTTACTATTTTGGGCCAGTTTTCCTTTGACAATAAAAAAAAATCAGGAGCTATCCATTACCATTTACCACCAAATGAAAGCCCAATTTCTCCTGAAAAAAATCAAGGTATAATCCACCTGGATGTACAAAGCAGTTGTGATGATATGTGCGGTTTTACTAACACATGTCAATGTTGCAGAATTGTGCTTAGGCATTTAGATTTGTTTTTACCCTTAGGAGTGAAGGGGTTAAAAAATAGTTCCTGCATTACTTTTTCACTACTTCAGTGCAATTTAAATTTCATAGACTAGAAGGTAAATGGCACTGAAATCGCACATGTGTCTATATCAGTGCTACTTTGAAGTCATGCTTTAAATGGGACCAAATCACACCACTTTAAAATCACATTCAGTGTGCACCAGTGAAAGAGAGAGGGGAGAGAGAAGGTGAAAAAGAGGAGGGGTGTGATAGAGAAAGAGAGAGGAGGAGTGAGAGAGAGAGGAAATGATGAGAAAGGAAGGGTGTGTTTTAAATTGCAGAATGAGATAATGTTAATTAGGGAATGTACAGTGTGGTGTGTATGACAGTGGGTAGTATGTACAGGGAGAGGAGTGCGAAGTGTATGGCTCTGGGTAGTATGGGTAGGATGGTGTTAGTAGGTGGTGTCAGTAGTTTTATTAGTATTATTTATTTATTTATTTTTTACAATTTTATGATTTATTTTTACAAATTAATGTTTTATTATTTTTATCATTTTTTTTCAAAATGCTTTTGGGTGGCCAGTGGATGGTGTCAGTAGAGCAATGATGTGGGTGTCAGAATTTAAAAATTTTTATTTATTTTTTACAATTTATTTCTGTATTATTTTTTTCACAATGATTTTGTGGGGGCAGTGGACAGTGTCAGTAGGGAGTGAACAGGGAGCACTAGTATATGTTGGGCTGTCATTAGATTGGGATGAATAAACAGAACCTGTACCCCCTTATATCGGAAGGAAGGGAATGGATGGAGGGAAGGAAGGAAGGAAGAAAGAAAAGGGAGGGAGGGAGGGAATGGATGGAGGAAGGAAGGAAATAGATGCAGGAAGGATTGAAGGAAGGGGAAGGAAGGAAGGAAGGAAGGAAGGAAGGAAGGAAGGAAGAAAAGGGAGGGAGTGAGGGAGGGAATGGATGAAGGAAGGAAGGAAGGAATGGATGGAGGAAGGGATGAAGGAAGGGGAGGGAAGGAATGAAGGAAGGAAGGAGGGGAGGGAAGAAGGAAAAAAAAAAAGGGAATGGATAGAGAAAGGAAGGGAGGGGAGGGAATGGATGGAGGAAGGAAATGGATGGAGGAAAAAATGAAGGAAAAGGAGGGAAGGCGGGATAGGAGGGGAGGAAGGAAGGAAATGAAAGGAGGGGAGGGAGGCAGGAAGGAAAGAAGGAAATGAAAGGAGGGGAAGGAGGAAAGAATGAAGGAAGGGAGGGGACAAAGGAAGGAAGGAAGGAATGTAGGGAGGGAGAAAGAAAGAAGGGTTGGAGGAGGGGGAAATAAGGAAGGAATGATTGAAGGATGAGGAGGGAAAGAAAAAATGAAGGGAGGGATAGAGGAAAGAATGAAGGTAAGGAAGAAAAGGAAGGGAGGGAATGTAGGAAGGAAGGAAAAAATAAAATGGATGGAGGGAGGAATGAAGGAAGGGGAGGGAAGGAAGGAGGGGGGGGGGGCAGGGAGGAAGAAAGGAACAAAAAGGAGGAATGAAATGAAGGAAGGAAGGAGAAAGAAGGGGAGGGAGGGAGGTTAGAGCAAAAGGAAGGAAGGGAGAGAGGGAGGGAAGGAAGGAAAAAAATGGGGAGGGGATGGAGGAAGGAAGAAAAATGGGACGGAGGGGGGAGGGAATGGAATGATGCAGGGAAGAAGGAAGGAAGGTGAGGGATGGATGGAGGAAGGAATGAAGGAAAGGGAAGGAGGGAAGGGGAGGGGAAGGAAGAAAAGGGAGGGGGATTAAGGAAGGGGAATAAGGGAGGGAAGGAAGCAAAGGGAGGGAAGGAATGGATGGAGGAAGGAAGGAGGAATGAAGGAGGTTGTGGGAAGTAGGAAGGAAGGGGAGGATGAAGGAAGGGAAGAAGGAAGAAATGAAGGAAATGACAGGAGGGTTGGAAGAAAGAATGAAGAGGGGGTTTGGCGGAAAGAATGGGAAGGAAGGGGGTGAGGGAAGGAAGAGAAGGAGGGGATGGAATGGAGGGAAGGGGGATGGGATGGGGAGAGGGGAAGGGGAGGAGAGAAGGGGGTAGAGAGAGAGAAAAGAGAGGGGAGGGGAGGGGAGGGGGGGGAGAGAGAGGGTGAGAGGGGGGGGAGGAAAGAGGGGGGAAGGAGGGAGGGAAAGAGAGGAGGGGGGGGGGAGGGGGAGGATGGAGGAGGGAAATGGATGAGGGTGGAAGGAAGAAAGAGAGAGGGGGGGGGGGGTGAGAGAGAAGAAATGGGGGAAATTAAAGGAGGGATGGGAGGAAAGAATGGGAGGGGAGGGGTGGGGTGAAAGAATGAAGAGAAGGGAGGGGGGAATGGATGGAGGAAGGAAGGAAGAAAGGAAGGAATGGATGGGAGAGAAGGGAGAGAGAGAGGGGGGGGTGAGGAGGGAGGGAGAAGGAGGGGGGGGGAAGGAGGGGGAGGAGAGGGGGGGGGGGAGGAGAGAGAGAGGGGGTGGATGGAGGGAAGAAGGAAGGAATGGATGGGGGAGAGAGGAGGGGAGGGAGAGAGGGAGGGAATGGATGGGAGGAAGGAAGGAAGGAATGGATGGGAGAGGGAGGAAGGAGATTGAGATAGGGGGAGAGAGAGGGGGAGGGAGGAGAGAGGAGGGAGGGAGAAAGAGGGGAGGAGGGAGAGAGAGGGGGGGGGGGGTAGGGGGGGAGGGAAATAGAGAGAGGGGGGGGGGGGGAGGGGGGGCAGAGAGAAAGAGAGGGGGGAGGGAAAGAGAGAGGGAGGAAGAGGGGGGGAGGGAGAGAGGAGAGAAAGAGATGGAAGGAGTGGGGAGGGGGGAGAGGGGGGGAGGGGGGGGGGGAGGGAGGGGTGGAGAGAGGGGGGGGGGGAGAGAGAGAGGTGGAGAGGGAGGGGGGGGAGGGAGAGAGGGGGGAGGGGAGGAGAGGGGGGAAGGAGAGGGGGAGGGGGGAGGGAGGGGGGAAATAGAGAGCGAGAGGGGGGAGAGGAAGGAAGGGAAATAGAGAGAGAGAGGAGGGAGGGAGGGAGAGAGGGGGGGGGAGGGGGGCAGATGGAGAGGGGGGAGGGGAGGGAGGAGAGGGGGGAGGGGGAGAGGAGGGGGAGAGAGAAAGAGATGGGGGGGGGAGAGAGGGGGGAGGGAGGGGAGAGGGGGGGGGGGAGGCAGAGGGGGAGGGGGGAGGGGAGGGAGAGAGAGGGGGGGGGGGGGGGATGGAGGGGAGAGAAAGAGATGGGGGAGAGGGGGGGGAGGGATGGAGAGAGGGGGGGAGGGAGGGAGGAGGGTAGGAGGGAGGGAGGGGAGAGAGGGGGGGGGAGAGAGAGGTGGAGAGGGAGAAAGAGGGAGGGAGAAAGAGAGAGAGAGAGTGAAGGATGAGAGGGGGGGAGGGAGGGAGGGGAGGGAAATAGAGAGGGGAGGGGAGGGAGGGGGGGAGAGGGAGAGGGGGAAGGGGGAGGGGAGGGGGAGGAGAGATGGGGGAGAGGAAGGGGTGGGGGAGAGGGGGGGGAGAGAGAGGGGGGAGAGAGAGAAAGTGTACATTCAGAAACATCCCAGTGAGCTGCCGGCTGATCCGGGGGGGGAGACAGAGGGGTCCTCTCTCCTCTGCTCTACCGGTGGAAGATGGGGGGGGGGGCTGGCACTTTCAGAGAAGACGGGGGCATCAGGGACCCTGCGAGGGGGGGATGAGGAGCACAGAGGGGAGGCCCAGGAGGGAATGTCCGATGCACAGTCAGGGATGATCGGTGCAGTGGAGGGACAGAGACAGCACCGATCTCCCTGCAAGGATTTCAACAAGGCAGATAGAGCTGGAAGCCTCCCCTCCAGGTCACTCACTTCTGGGTCGGGATCTGAGACTGTCTCCTGCTCCGCTCCCCACACTGGACAGTGATCCTCTCATGGGCCCCCTACTGACCCCCGGGCCATCGGGAAATGCCCGAATGCCCGAATGGTCAGTCCGCCCCTGGCTACATGTTTTTTAAAATATTTTTTTAATATTAGCTTGACTAATACAGGCTATATTTATTTATATAAATCAATGGTTTGTTAATAGTTATAGTCACTTACTATATAAAGAGTTATCAGGATTTCTTTCTATGCAATCGTTTGTTGCACAGTTTTCCTGAGGTCAAGCCATAGCTTTTTGTAATACTAATTTTTTCGATTTAAAGGTAATCCGTTAAATCAAATTTTATGGCAGCTGCCAATGTTGACTAGTTTTTGAATGTGCATGTTGAAGAGCTGTCATTTGTATTCTTACTTGACTGTTTAGTGAGTCACTGACCCCTGAACAACATGTGAATATCAGTTATCCCAACACCTGATATGTGCTTATTAGAGATCACTGACTCAACAAGCAGTGAAGGAAGGAAGGGGATGACACCCTTCAGATTAGGAACCTTGAGAAACATGTCATAAGCAGTAGTTCTCACATTTCTCTCCTGGGTGAAAGTAAAATCTGTTAATGCTGAGACTCACAACTGGATGGAGATCTTTGCTTGAGAATCTGATCAGAAGGAATAGGAAATCCATACAATAAAAATTAGGTATGATGAGCACTCCTCCCATAGGGGAAGCTATGCCAAAGGAACTGTGATTGCAAATTGGCTAAATAAATCCCAGATGGGACATACTATAGCTTCAAAAAAGAAAGAATTTACAAGATGTTTATTCAAGACATTTCAAGGTGTATACTGACTCCCTCTCAGATTTCTTCACAAATAATTATCCTGACATTTCCTTTTAAAAACTGTTTTTTTTTGCATTTTGCAAATTAATGTAGGCACATTCACAAACATGCTCATGCTGATATTATGCTACTCCCAAAAGACCCTATTTGTGATGATGGCACTCTCAGCCTTACTCTGCATATTTTCCAACATACAGGACTACAATCTACATGCCTGCAGACTATGAGCTATCATTACTGGGGGTCAGTTAATTCCACAGTTAGCCCTTTAAACACACTACCACCATGGAATTTAACAGAAATATGCACCTGTCACAGTAATTGTTATAGCTGTTCTGACTTTTAGGAAATGTCTGGGACACCACTGCCACACTAGTAAGAGAAAAAACAGAGTTTAATCT